CACCCCTCCTCCCCCCCGCACCCTAGCCGCGCCAGCCAATGGCTAGGGTCCTATAAACGTGAACGTCCCAGCGCTCAGAGGTAACCCCAGCGAGCGTTCAGATCGTGGGCCGCAGGTCCCAGGAGCTAGCTCGCTAGGGAGCAGGAGGCCAAGCGACCAGAGTCGGAGTCAAGAGTCGTAGTCGGAGTCTCGGGACCGGAGCCGGAGCCTGATCCGCAGAGTGCAGCCCGCCCGCCCGTCGCCGCCCGCGCACCCGGCGCTGCCAGAGCCTCCGGCGCAGCGCGGCCATGGAGCCCAGCAGCAAGGTGAGTCGCGCTCCCGCGGGCCCTCCCCGCCTGGAACAAAGGCGCGGACCCCCGGTCACCCCTCCGCCGGCCTAGGCCTCCCCGGACCTCCCCGGCGGCCCGGACGCTCTGTGAGCCCGGGACTGGCGGCGCGCCTCTCAGAGCCATGCTCGGCGCGGGCCCGGAGCGCAGCGCCCTGCCGCTGCCGGGGACTTGGGCGGGGATGGGGTCGGGATCTGGCGGGCGCGTGGGCGCCGCGTGCGTTGTTGGCGCCCGCAGTGAGCAGCTGGCTTCCTTCCGGGGGCGCCGCGCCGTCCACGCGTCCCAACAGGGCCGGGGGACCCAGGGCCCGGGCGCGGCACGTCGCTCACGATCTCCTCCTCAGCGGCCCTGCTCCGACTTCTCCCGGGGCGGGGGAGGGGGCCCGAGCGCGGCGCCCATTGGCTGAGCCGGCCGAGCCCCCGGCCGGGCCCCGGCCCGGGAGCTCAGAGGAGGAGGGACCCGCCCCCGCTCGGCCGGCTCGGAACAGATGCTCCCTTTTCCTGGGCGCCACACTGGGCGCGCGGCCTGTGGTGTTGGGCGTTTTCCGCGGCCTCGCGCAGTCCGCGCGCCGGTCCTCCGGGGTTCCAAGGCGGAGGGCACTCTCTTAAGGCCCGGGCTCCAACCCCAGGGTGCCTGGCTACAGGGTTGAGGCGAAAAGCCTGACTTCCGAGGCCCTCCTTTCCGCGTAGTGCAGGCCCCAGAGCTTTTGCCAAGACCCGGGGAGATGTGCTCTGAGGTGGCACGTTTCCCTGCTTGGGCGGAGCTGGTGAGGGCCGGACGGAGAGAGTACCCCAGGGGCCGCCGCCGCGATCCCGGGGGTGCCGAGGGTCGGGAAGGGGCCCCTGGCTGGAGTGGAGTGGGATTAGCGCGCGCCAGGGAGCTGAGGGTCGTGGGACTGAAAGGAAGATGAGGACTCTTCCTTCCCCCCGGGAGCAAGCAACTGCCTAGATACGATCTCTTTTTTTCATCTGTAAACGGGTTTGTCCTACAGGGGATCTTTGTGACTTTCCCAGAACGGTTCCTTTCCAACAAATATTTATTGGGCCCCACCTTGTGTGTTGTAGGGCATTGTTTCTTTCCTCCCTCCCTTCCTCCCCTTTCTATAGAATATTTTCAAGTGACTTTTTTCTTTGAAATTCGGCAGGGAAGGCACGAGGATGTCCGTTTTTCCACCTGGCCTGGGGGGTTAGCACTGAACTCTGCACTGCCCTTCCTATGGGCTGTGGAGGTGTCCGGTGGAACTGAACAAGGTCTTGGCTGGGCGGAGAGGTGCGTGACAGTGACGCCAGGCTCTACCCTCAGCGGGAAAATGCTCCTTTATGCCTGATGAATCCAAACAACTTGCTTCACCACCCCGCCCTGGCCTGAAGAGAGACCCTGAGCCCAGAACACATTTCCTGACAGTCATAGGTGAGCCATTATGCTGGGATATAACAAAATAAAAATAAAATGAGAAGCTATTTTAACTAGTGGTAAGAACATTGCCACTGCAAAGCTTAAATATTTGCTGTGTTACCTCAGGGCTCTGGCAGGTCACTTAACTTCTCTGGGCCTCAGTTTCACTGTCTGTAAGAGAGGGAAAACTTTTTTCGCTCCTGCAAGGGTAAGAAATGTCTGTTCAGCATGTGATGCATGACCTGGGTGTTCATCTGTTGAGTGGAGAAGTGAATATTCTGAGAGGAGACAGAAAAGTGGAGGAGAAAGTCAACAGTCACTTGTAGCTCACTAGGCTCTGGGCTCAAATGCTTTTCAGTGTCACTGACCCTCCATATATAGCTCTGCTGGTTCAGAGGCCTAGAGCTCGGAGAAGGGAAGTAACTTACTTGAAGTCACACAGCTAGTAAGTGGCTGAATTGGATTTGAACCAGGCCAATCAGAAAGGGCTTTCAGTCTACACTATCCCTTTTCACCATAGACTTTCTTGAATTTTGAGCTGAGGGGAGAGAGTTTGCCTAACTTCAGGGGTGCCCATGTGCCAGCCAGTTCTGTAGCAGGTAGGTGTTTTTCATGCAGTACCCTCCAAACTTTTGATTGCTTTGGAGCACCTCCTTCCCAGTGGTTTATCTGTATTTATAAATTCATGTATGTGCAGTTATAATAATAGATTATATGCCTACATAAAGTAGAAATTTCAAAGGACAAATACAGATAACAGTTATAGTAAAAAAAATTTTATTTTTTATTTTTTTGCTAAACTTTCTATGGATCATCCTGTATACATTCTAGAAAAATGCCCTTCCCTTTGGAGCTGCTGATTCAATCAGCAAGCCCAGCCCTTTTGTGCAAGAGGTTAAACTGAGGCCTGGAGAAGTTATATCACTTGCCCAAGGTCTTAAAACCAGGTGTGTCTAGTTCTGAAGTTCCTTCTGCTATGTTCCTCCTCATCTCCTCAGTTGACTCAGCTGACTTTCCTGCGTTCTGTCGTGCTCCTCTGTGGCTCACTGTGCTGAGTTTAACTGAGTAGGAAGTAGGGAGGAGACAGGTTGAAGACCCTCCTGTCCCAGCCAGTGCTTTGCTCATGCTCCGTCCTGGGCAGCAGATGAGGGTGAGCCCTGCCCCCAGATGTCTCACCCAGCCCTTTGTGAAGAACTCCCAACTAGTCCCTCCTAGCACCCCAGTTGTGCCCCAGGACTCTGCCACTCTGCCCTCCAAAGGAGAAATGAGAAATCCGTGGGGTTCCTCAGCCCCTCAGTGGTACGGAAGAGCATAGGCTTTCGAAGTCCTGCATTTGTGGTTTTGAATTCCAGCTTAGCTCAGTTGCCACGTCTGCAGAATGATGTCATTTTTGTCATTAGAGTGTCTGTAAGAATTCAGAAATAAATGTGTCTGTCTGTCCCCATGGATGCTCCATAAATATCCCTTGCTTCTCTGGATTCCCATGATGCACTGCACCTACCTGGGCCCCAGGTGACCTGCTAGCTGGGTTGCAGCTTCTGTCCAGAAGTCTGGCATTTGGGCAACATGAGCTTTTGGGGAGTCCCAGGATGCCCAGGCTGTATCGCTTGGTTGGGTAAATCATTAAAGTTTCCGCTGGCTAGTTCTCCAGTAGGGGTTTTGTCAGGAAGCTGGTTTGCAGAGTAGCCCATGGGTGAGAGTGCCAGGCCCAGAGATGGGTCAACTGATGTGGCTGCCCTGCCCCCCCTGTGAGGGTGATAACAGGTCATGATGATGTCACAGTCCAATGGAAAATGACTTTTCCAAGGTCACATACTAGCCTCCCACCACAAAACACCTGCCAGCCTTTCTAGGATGGCATAAGAGGATAAAAGAAAGTCCCCAGCAGGAAGGGACCTTCTAGTGCATGGCCCAGCCCTGTTTGACAAATAGGGAACTGAGGCCTGAGAAGGAAAGAGGCTTAGCCAAGATAAGGCTGTCACAAAAAATTTGAGATGTTCTTCGGTATTGTTTTTGAAAAACGTGTTTTTTTTCTGCACACCCCTGTCCTATGTGCCACCTTCCACTCACCCCAAATGAACAGGAGTTCCCAGACTCCCGGACTTTCCAGCCTCTTTCTGGGTGCAGTCTAATAGTTGGATTAGATACAGTTTGACAACTGAAAGCCTTCTGTGAATGGAAACAAAATACATCCTCATAAAACTATGACCTTGGGGAAGTGGCCTTCCTCAGAGCCTCGGTTTTCTTCCCTGTAAAATGGAGGCTCACTCCATGGTAGTTGTGGCGAGACTGCCCAGTGCCCTCAAGCAGGGTGGCGGCTATTTTCAGTGGAAGGACCCTCTGCACGTCCAGTTTGGGTGTACGGACATCGTCAACATCTCCATGATGATCCCTGTCCCATGCTGGGCCATTCCGGAACCAACCCTACCTGGCCTGGAGCTGGGTCAACCCCCAATCCCTCTGTAATCAGCTTGTGACTTCAAGGAGCTCAGCTTTACCCAGTGCCTCTTGGTCACAGGATGTCAGGGCCTAGAGCTCTGCTCCAGCTCCAAGGGTACAGGCATCCAGTTCTCTCCCCCTCCCACCCTAGCTGGCAGAGCTGGGGAGGCCTGGGACAAAGGGGAAGCGTGCAGTGTTGGCTTGGGACCTGCAACCTCACCCCTCCCCCACCTCACTCCTGGGCAGAGCCACTCAGTTTGGTAACCTGCGTCCCAGAATGGTAGAGGTTGAGAAGGCTCCTGGTTGGACCTATGGGCTCAGAGAGGCTGTGTCTAGGCCTGGTCACCAAAACAAACCTCCAGTTGTTACTGGCCTCCTCCGTGGGAGGCATGGAGTGGAGCCTAAGGCTCTACCATCCAGCCTCCAGGCCAGGGAGGGAGTAGCTCAATAGCTAATGCATAAACATTGGGGTTTTGCAGTAACGGAGCAGGGCTCCCAGACCTTGAACTCGTGCAGAATGAGGGCAGTGTTCACCCTTTCTAAGACTTCAGCACCACCACCTTGCTGGCTTTTGCCTCCCCAGGGCCTTGGTACCCTGGAAGGGGAGAGAGTTATCGCCAGACCCCAGCTTAACGAGCCTTTGGCTACTGAGGCCTCTGCTGGAGAGGACATCTGCCAAGAGCGCCTAGCCCAGAGTTCACCCCCACTATTTTGGCACTGGGGAGTGAGGAGGAAAGGGCTCCACCAGAAACAGCTCTACCATTTGTCCTCAGACCAGCCACAGCTCCTGTTGGAGCTAATTTCCTCAACTGTAACAGGGATAATACCTACCTCTCTAGGTCAGGTTGCAGGGTTTTTTTTTTTAATTACACAAGTACTGTAATGGAGCCAACTATAGAGAAGCATGCAAAGTAAGAGAGTAAACATCTTCCCCCAATTGTAATGGTTTGGTGTTTACCCTCACAGACCTCTTTTTGTGCATGTGTATATGTGTGCCTATAAATGGAATTTAGTGTAATTGGATCATGCTTTCTACATAGTTCTGTGCAGCCCAGTGCAGCCCATCCTGTTCACCTACCAATACTTGCAGTGTTTCTCTCTGCACATATAAGGAAGTGCCATTATACAAGTTCATTATCTCCTCC